CAACGTCGGCATCCACCTTAGCGCCCCTATGTGGAGCTGCAGTGATGCTTCGCCGTGGATGGGAAGTTTCATACCGTCCACCATCGTTGCCGTGAACTTGGTCTCCTCCGAAGATTCTCCAATTTTCTCCAACGTCCCGCGGTCGCACACCGAGTGAGACGCACCGCTGTCCACCAGTGCCTGGAGGCGTCTACCATTGCAAATCACCTCGAGTAGTAGTGGTTGTTGCCGCTCCGAGTAATCGTAGATGGTCTCGCTTATAGGATCGTAGGGTACGTCAAATAGATCATCCCTCGGTCCTGCGCTCGAAGCTGCTAACTCCATATCAGTTTTCAGCTGAGTAGGGTTAGAAGGATTTATCCGTGGCCGATACAGCTTCGTCTTGGCCTGGAACCTTCCCCTAAGCTTTGCAGCTGTGTAGGCTTCTCCTGTGGGCAATGGGTAGCCTTAACACTATGCTGCGGGGAGAGAATATTAACTCCTTGGAACGCACGACCCTTTTCAATGCTCCGGAGTGGTTTGCCCAACTTCTCAGGTACCTGAATAATGTCTAAAGGCTTTTTCTTGGCCTTGAAATCTCCCCTGAATTTTTCAAAGGCTTGAAAACCTCGAGAGGAAATATTCTTACTCTCGGGGGTGTTCGGCTGGAGTTTCCCGGTCGGTGCAGAGTCTTGTTTCGCGGAGCCTCCATTTGTCTCGGCGATTTCCCCTGTTGCCGGCCGGTCGTGGCGTTTTAAATTCGCGCCATCGTGTCCTCCTTTTTTCGCCCGCTCCGAAGTCGCCATGTCTTTTGACTTCGGGGGTGTCGCACTGTTGTTGCCCTGCAGCTCCGCTCGTGCCTTCTTCATTTTCCAACACGCCAAGAGTCGATGTCCTGCTGCGCTGCAAAATTCGCAGTTCTTTTTATTTTGTCGGCCGCTGCTTCGCTCTGATCTTGTCGATATCCATTGGATCGGCGGTCGTGGTGTCAGAATGTTATATTTGTCTAGCCTGCAGTGGGGTACTCTATAGCGAGTACAGCCCAATTTAGGGTTTCCTATATGTACTCAACTGCTTGCTAGTGCAACCCCTCCTTTCTTCATTCTTGTTTCTGACTGCTAGTTCTGACATGCTATCAGAGCAGGTCGACCCTCCTGGGTCGATCCTGTGGGTGGGGCCCACCCGATGCTTCCGCTGCTCTACTGCTGTCGCGCGCCCCGGGCGCGCGACCCTTTCTTCTTGCCGCGCACTCGGAGCGCGCGGCGTTTTTCATCCCGCCGTGCGCTCGGGGCGTGCGGCGGTTTTCAGCCCGCCGTGCGCCCCAAGGCGCGCGGCGGTTTTCTGCCCGCCATGCGCTCGGGACGCGTGGCGGTTTCCTGCCCGCCGCGCACCCTGTGCGCACGTGGCGGTTTCGCGTTCCGTCATGGCGCCCCCCGTCGACCCGTGCGCCCGTCCCCGTCGACCTGCGCGCGGCTCCCCGTCGCCCTTCGCGACGGCCCCGTCGACCCGCGCGCGGCTCCCCGTCGCCCTTCGTGGCGGCCCCGTCGACCCGCGTGCCGCTTCCGGGGTCCCGTGCGCCCGTCCCCGTCGACCCGCGCGTCGCCCTTCGGCCCCCCCCCTCCCCGCACACCTGAGTTCGCTTTCCGCACACCCGAGTTTGCTTCCCGCACACTTGTGCATGCTTCGCGCACACCTGAGCTCGCTTACCGCACACTCAGGGTATGGGGGTGACGGGTATGGGGGTGGCGGGTGTGTGAGCCGTCCCCTGCTCCTCCTTCTCCTCCGTCTCCCACTGCTGCAGCTGCCGCTGAGGGGGGTGGGTGTGTGGGAGCCGAAGGAGTGGTGCTAGGGGGGTGACGTGGGAGTGGAGTTAGGGGTACAGCAAGGGGTGTGTGAAAGAGGGGTGTCGGACAGTTGGGGGAGGTTGCGTGGAGGCTGCCGTCGTGTCGCCTGCAGCGCCAGTAGTCCGGAGCCTGTCTTGCTCCTGGTAGCCCAGAGAGCCTGCTGCGCCGGTCGCCCGTGGGTCCGTTGCTTCTGCCGTGCAGAGCCAGTTACTCCCTGTAGTCCGGGGCGCTGTCCCGGTAGCCACTGTGCCAGCCGCTCCTGTTGCCCGTGTGTCTGCAGCTTCAGGCGTTGCCTCCCATCTCCTCTCCTCTCACAGTCCAGCCTCCTCCTCCTCACGTGCCCGATGTGAATGCCTCTAGCTGTGCTTGTTGTGCTGATTACACCCCACTTTGGCTATGGGGGTGTGTCAGAATGTTATATTTGTCTAGCCTACAGTGGGGTACTCTATAGCGAGTACAGCCCAATTTAGGGTTTCCTATATGTACTCAACTGCTTGCTAGTGCAACCCCTCCTTTCTTCATTCTTGTTTCTGACTGCTAGTTCTGACACGTGGGTGGTGCCGATCGCTCCGTGCCGAATGATCTGTTCCGCACGCGTCGTCATGTTTCGGGTTGACCTCGAATCAGCGCATCGAATCTCTCTGCTGCACACACCATATCGCGGTAGTTGTTGTAGTTCGCGGCCATCACCTATTGCCGGACTTCCAAATTTAGCCCCTCAGTATACGCTTGGAGGGGGGGAGAGTGCTACCGCACTGTATTCCCTTGTCAGTTCCTGACAGCTTCGCCTGACAGACTCAGCATGACGGACGCTCGCGATGGTTCTATCAACATCGACAGTTTACGATTGACCGACATCTGACACCGTGTCAGAATCCCGCCAACTTCGCCAGCGTTCCTACCGTCCGATTTACGTCCGCGGCATCGACGACCTCCATTCATCCGCGGAGTTCAATTCGACAGTTCAACGACAACCATTCGATCAGGATCGACGGCTGACCTTTCAACTCTTAAGTGCTGCTGCTCACTCCCTTGGGGGCTTTTGGGTAGAGACAAAGAAAAGAATTTGTGTCTAGCCCGAGTCGGCCTACCATGTGAGCTTCAACTGCCTTGGTCAGCTGCAGATGCCTGCCTCCAGCCAAAAGATTACTCACACCAGGAGTCACACGTAACAAACCCCTGCCCAGCCAGCCGCCCAGCCCAGTTCAGCAGATCATCCTTGCTACCACCCACTCCTCCTACCCCACCTCCCTGTCAACAGGAGTTGTGTGTTGGCCCCGTCCTCGCTTGGGCGGAGCCGACTTCGTGGTCGGGTGTGCGGGAGGTGCAGCCGACTTGTAGCAGTGGGCGACGCCGATTTGGGAGAGCTGGTCGATGGGTTTCGTCGACCTGCACAGGGCCACTGCAAAGCCGCCCCCTTTGGGACACGGGCAGCCGACTTCTATGGGTGTTCGACAACGGGGCTCGTCGACCTTGGAAGGGCGCCGACTTGGAGGGCTTCGACTTTGGAAGGTCGACTTGGGAAATTGACCTGGGAGGGCGTCGACTTGGTGACGCTGACCTAAAGAAGCTAGCTCGGTGCAGTCGGCGACCAGCAGGCCTGGTCAACCAAATGTGGTCGACCTGGGGGAGTGGCTGACTTGGAGTAGTCGGTGGAAGGTGGTCGTCAACCGGGATGGTCGACGGGCACGAGGAGAAGCAGCTGGTCGACTACGAGGTGTTATAGTCACAATATGCTTGAATAGAACGAAAGATTGAGTGCACAGATGGATTTATGCACAGCGGTTTCAAGCATTCATAGCAAGTTGGTCACAGCTCCAAATGACCTGATTCAACTTGGATATGGAGCATTCTGACGTCGTCTACAATCAGCAATTTAGATCGCACGATTTCACTAAGAATTGACGAAACAACGTCAGTTTGAGCGAATGGCACTATGGAAGGAACATAGTCTTAGAACACACATTTTGAAGAGTTAGGAAGAGTTGGGAAGAGTTACGAGTTGGGATTAACTCCCAGCTCCTACAAACCCCAAGAGCAGAAGTATAGTGATGTGGAACGGTGCCACACTGTCTGCAACCAAGAAGGGTCTCGAAACTACCCTCCACAAGGGCCTACACAAAGAGAAATGTTATAGTACACATTGTAATGTAACGATTCTCACTATCTTGAAGTGTACCCTTTTGGCGAGCTTCGAAATCACTTGAAGCTTGAAATCAAGGCTCGGGTTCTTCATCACAAACTCATCCTTGATTTCTTGATGGTCTGCTGCACACACCTGCTGTCAAAGTTATATTTAAGATATATCCTGCTTGCTGTAGTTACTGTAGTTATTGTTCTTTGTGTCAGAGGTCCACTGGTGATCCCCGATTGATCCTAGGGAAGAGTTACAGGCTCGTTGTCCTGGGGGGTTATGGGCGCACTGACCCGCTACTTAACAAGCCCTTTTATCCCAATGGTCTAGTGGTTGGGATTCTGACATGGTATCAGAGCGAAGGTCACGGGTTCGAATCCCAGTGTGTGCACTTCGGGCATCCCAGTGCGGGGGGGTGTCAGAGGTCCACTGGTGATCCCCGATTGATCCTAGGGAAGGGTTACAGGCTCGTTGTCCTGGGGGGTTATGGGCGCACTGACCCGCTACTTAACAAGCCCTTTTATCCCAATGGTCTAGTGGTTGGGATTCTGACACTTTGCTGTTGGTGGTGCACCTCTTGTTTGTCTTTCTCGACTATATCTTGTATGCTTTGCTTTAGTGAAGCTAACTTGTTTGGTCAATTTCTCTCAATTCTCCTTGCACAAACTACTCGACACCCGCTTGGCATAGGCTACTAAGCCTAGGCCCTCCTTAAACCCGGTTACCAGCTATGATAGTGTTCTGACATGGTATAGAGCGATTAAGTTCCTGACCTAAGTTAATGGGCCCACCCATTCGTGGCACGGTGCTCGCTGCGACGGGCGCGGCGGCGAGCCGGCCGCGTTTCCCTCGTCGCCAGCCCGTCGTTTTCTTTTTTTCCCTCGTCGCCTGCCCGTCGCCAGCCCGTCGCGTTTTCCCCCCGTCGCCAGCCCGCCGCATTTCCCCCGTCGCCAGCCCGTCGCGTTTCCCCCGTCGCCAGCCCGTCGCGTTTCCCTTGTCGTCAGCCCGTTGCATTTCACCACCCTCACCACCTCTGCCCGCGCCTACGCCTGCTGCCGAGTTTGTGCGAGAGTGGGGAAGGGGGGGGGGGACGGCATTGGGAATGAAGGGGACGGCAACGGTGGCAGTCGTCGCGGCCCTTTCCCCCCCGTCCCGTTTTCTTCCTTCCCGTCGCCTCGCTCCGCCCGTCGCATTCCCCCGCCCCCCTGCTCGTCACCCCCCCCCGTTGCGACTGTTCGCGTGTGCAGCGGTGGTCGCTGTGGGTGGGAGAGGGAGGAGGGGAAGGGATTGGCGGCGGAACACTGTGGGGGGGAGAGGGAAAGTGGGAAGGGAGTGGCGGCGGAATGCTATGGGGGAGAGAGGAAAAGGGGGAAGGGAGTGGCGGCGTAACAACACCAGCACCAGCCGCCAGCACCAGGCACCAGCACCAGCGCCAGCCGCCAGCACCAGGCACCAGCACCGAAGCCAGTCACCAGCACCAGCACCAGGACCAGCGCCAGCCGCCAGCACCAGGCACCAGTACCAGCACCAGCACCGAAGCCAGTCACCACCACCAGCACCAGGACCAGCGCCAGCCGCCAGCACCAGGCACCAGGACCAGCGCCAGCCGCCAGCACCAGGCACCAGTACCAGCACCAGCACCGAAGCCAGTCACCACCACCAGCACCAGGACCAGCGCCAGCCGCCAGCACCAGGCACCAGGACCAGCACCAGCCGCCAGCACCAGGCACCAGTACCAGCACCAGCACCGAAGCCAGTCACCACCACCAGCACCAGGACCAGTGCCAGCCGCCAGCACCAGGCACCAGGACCAGCGCCAGCCGCCAGCACCAGGCACCAGTACCAGCAGCCATTCACCACCACCAGCACCGGCCAGCGCCGTCACGCCAGCACCAGCCACCTGTGACCAGCAGCCCCACCTGTGACCAGCAGCCCCACCTGTGACCAGCAGCCCCACCTGTGACCAGCAGCCCCACCTGTGACCAGCAGCCCCACCTGTGACCAGCAGCCCCACCTGTGACCAGCAGCCCCACCTGTGACCAGCAGCCCCACCTGTGACCAGCAGCCCCACCTGTGACCAGCAGCCCCACCTGTGACCAGCAGCCCCACCTGTGACCAGCAGCCCCACCTGTGACCAGCAGCCCCACCTGTGAAGGACTGTACAGGGATCGTCGTGGGTGGGGAGGGGTCTGGAGAAAGAAAGGGGGGGAGGGAGAGCGGTTCTAAGGGGCGGTTGACATGGGGGGTGAGGTTAAAGGGGGTTGGTTGATTGGGGGTGGGGATGTGGGGGTTAGTAAGAGGGGACGCTGCGGCCACCCCCCCACCTCCTCTCCTCATCCCCCACTTAACCCCCCCTCTGTAAAAGGGGGTTAGTAAGAGGGGACACCGCGGCCACACCCCCACCTCCTCTCCTCATCCCTCAATCACCTCCTCCTCTATTCTTATCTCCTCTCCTCTCCTCTCTCTCTCTCTCTCTCTCTCGCCTCCTCCTCCTCACTCTCCTTCCTGCCGTCTTCCACTGCGCCAGCTATACCCCTTCAGGGGGTGTTGACTACTCTAGTTCCTACTGCAAGCAGGCTAAAGGGGTGTGTCAAAGTTATATTTAAGATATATCCCGCCTGGTGTAGTTACTGTAGTTATTGTTCTTTGCTGTTGGTGGTGCACCTCTTGTTTGTGTTTCTCGACTATATCTTGTATGCTTTGCTTTAGTGAAGCTAGCTTGTTTGGTCAATTTCTCTCAATTCTCCTTGCACAAACTACTCAACACCTGCTTGGCCTAGGCAACTAAGCCTAGGCCCTCCTTAAACCCGGTTACCATCTATGATAGTGTTTTGACACCTACGACACGCCGAACGTTCGACAAAGGACAACATAGAAACCGCGCACAGGACACACGACAAAACAAAAACCGCGTGCGAGACACAAATGACCGCGTAACACGCGACTAGAGATAATTCGCTATTGACTCGACACACACACTCGACATAATGACTCATCATTCACGCACTATTATAAGCATGAAATATATGTTATTTCATGCCCTCATTCCATTCCATGTACACACGCATGTACGGTCACTGACAATAAGTCGAGTGCAAACCGTAAGGTTGCACCAACAAACTCCCCCTCGGATTGTTGGCCTTAGGATCTTGCTCTCTCAGTTCATAGCCATCCCAGCCAGCTTGCAGCACTTCCAATGCTGATGCTCCACCAGCCTCTTGGTCATCATTTTAGCTGGCTGCCCTGTCGTCTTCACGTAGCGCAACTCAACTTCACCCGCGGCCACCATGCTCCTCGTCCAGTGCCACTTCACCCTCATGTGCTTGGTGAGGCCGTGCAACACCGGGTTCTTAGCTAGAGCAATGGCACCCTGATTGTCTTAGTAGAGTGGGGTAGGTCAATGCTGCTCCTCCCCCAATTCAGCCAACAAAAGCCGCTGCCACACAATCTCCCGTACGGCACGGAAGAGTGCCATGTAGTCGGACTCCACCGAGCTCAATGCTTGGTCCACCTGCTTCTTGCTCTCCCAAGCAGTTGTGCCTCCACCAACACAGCATATGAAGCCTCCCACACTTGTCATGTCCTCTGGTTCCGATGCATAAGAAGCTTCCGAGTAGGCGATGAGGAACAAACGCCCAGGTTCAACACTATCCGCCCCCTTTTGGCGCCTTTGTGCCGCCGCCAAGTATTGCAGCCCAACGGTCGGTGTTTCGCCAAGAGACTTGGCCATCCTCATTCCAACTGTTACCTGCTCCTCATTAGGGCACTGAACAACCCTAGCCAGTTGCCCGGTAGCAAACGCGACATCCGGTGGGGTGTTGACCACCGCATACATGAGGCTGCCCACCAACGAGTGAAATCGGCGCCTCTCCTCTTCGCCAACACTCTCCTCCTATGGTCCCTTCACACACTTGAACCTAGAAGGGAATGGAGTAGCAACATGGCCTTCACTCTGCCCAAAGTTGGCAGCCAAGGTCTCCAGGTACTTGCGTTGGTGCACCCGCATGCACCTCTTCTCCACATCGCGTCCAATGTGAAGCCCGAGGTAGATGTTTACGACGCCAAGTGCCTTGCACTTAAACTTGTCCTTAAGCTTCAGCATCACCTCCTTCACAAGGTCAGAGGAGGGTGAGAAGATAAGAATGCCATCCACGTAGACCACCATGAAGCTCCTTTGCTCTCCCTCGCCAAGCATAAACAAGGAGTGATTGGCCGTTGAGGGAGTGAAGCCGATCTCCTCCAGCGCTTAGCGCAGCTTCAAATACCATTGCCTAGGGGCCTGCTTCAGCCCATAAAGGGCCTTCTTCAGCTTCCACACTCTGCCGCTACCATCGTCAAACCCCTCTGGCTGCGCCAAAAAGATCTCCTCCTCTAGGACGCCGTTGAGGAACGCTGTTGTGATATCCATCTGCTTCACCACCCATCCTTTGATGACAGCTCCCGCGAGTAGGGTCCGCAGCGTCGTCGGCTTCACCACTGGAGCAAACAACTCCTTGAAGTCCACCTTCTCCTTCTGCTGGTACCCCTTGGCCACAAGCCTAGACTTGTAGCGCTCGATCATGCCGTCGGCATCGGACTTTATCTTGAAGAGCCACTTCGACGTTATCGCTGTACGCCCCTCCGGCAGCTCCACCAATTCAAACGTGTCATTCTCCTCAATGCTCTTCAGCTCACTCTCCATTGCCTTCTTCCACTCCTCAGCATCACTACTGTCAACGGGAGTTGTGTGTTGGCCCCGTCCTCGCTTGGGCGGAGCCGACTTCGTGGTCGGATGTGAGGGGAGCAGCCGACCTGCAGCAGTGGGCGAGCTGGTTGACGAGGAGGTCGACCTGCACGGGGACCACTGCACGGGCGCCGACTTCAGGGTAGAGTGGCGCCGACGTCAGGGAGGTCGACTTGGGAAGTCGACCTGCGGAGGACGTCAACTTGGTGACGTCAACTGGGGCAGCCGACTTGGGTGGTCGGCTGACGGACTGCTGGTCGACCTGCTGGTGGTCGACCTGACCTGGTGGTCGACGAAGGAGGGGCCGACGTCGACCTCGACTCAGGACACCAAGCAGTTGGGCGTCGAGCAGCTGGGCGTCAACTTGGTGACGCCGACTTCGGGTAGCCGACTTGGGGGTCGGCTGACAACTGCGCTGGTCGACATGGAGCTGGTCGACCAGGAGAGCTGGTCGACGCGGAGCTGGCCGACCAGGAGTGACGTCGACCTGGAGCTGGTCGACCAGGGGCGTGGTCGACCTGGTGAGGTTGACTTGGAGGTGGTCGTCGACTTGGGAGGTCGCCGAGCGCATACAGGAGCATCTGGTCGACGTGGTTGCCCGGTCGACCAGGTTACCTGGGTGACGAGGTTCTGCGGAGGAGTGCGACGGTCGCCCAGGCGAAGTTGGCGAGTCCGACCTCGGTGGTGGTATCCCGAGGTCGACGTGGCTGATCTGATGCAGCCATCAGCGCCAGGTTGACTTGGTGTGTGCGTTGTGCCAGGTGACAAGGCTTCGTACGCCAATCATCTGCAAGCACCTGTGAAGCGGGTGCGGTGCTGTTCTGCAGGAGCAACGCTGGCACGCCGTCAACCTACGACGTTGGTACGCCGTCGACTTTGCACTGCTGGAGCGCGGTCGACCAAGTCGTGCTGGAACGCGGTTGACCGTGCTGCGCTGGCAGTCGACAGACCTGAATGCTAGCTCTGATGTAGTCTTGCCATGCCAACTTCATTGTATCATTGTTGTCAATTTTCTCTAGTGAGACTCTTGCCAAAATCTCCCCGTGAATGTGCAAGCAGAGAACACACAAGCAAACGACTAAGGAACGCAGAGATCACACGAGCATCCGTGCCTTGTCTGTAGTCTAGCTCCCGTTGCATCAGTTATCTCCGCATGGTGCGGTGGGCGTGGACGGCACACAATTTACCTTTTCAGTCAGGTCGACGTAGTGGTCACTTACCTAAGTTGCTCGTAGGCCGGCAGCCGTACAGTCCCTAGCGTGCGCGTAGGTGACACCGAGGTGATGGACACCCTGGAGGGACGGCTGGAGGATGCGAGGAGACGTCATGAGGCCCAGGAGTACGGGGCGATACCCTGGGCGGTCGTCGAGGCTGGGCTCCGCACCATGTGGGCGACGGAGCATCCCCCTTCTCGACCGGCGTCTCCTCGACCGGTGACCAACGAAGGCGGCGTTGACGTGGACATCACAAAAAACCTTGGTTTTTGAAGGGGGTTCGAAGGGGGGTACAGTTCAGGTGTTTTGGTTGGCGAAGTTCCAAAGCCAAATCGCGACCAATCACGGAATGAAATCGGACCGCGTTTGTTTGTCGAAGTCTAGATCGAATTCGCGACTCCGGTACATTGCCGTTTATTTGAAGCGTGCCAAATTTGTTGTGATTTTGTAATTGGTTTTTTAAGCTTTGACTTCCCTAAAATGTGTCTGCTTGAAAATATGCTGACCATTTTATTACAAGATAAATGCATCACATTTGATACTTATTAAGGAGATAGGTACTGTCCAGGTGGAATGCCTTCACCACATGGACGTGGCGGAGCAGCGCTTCAATCGGAATCACGGAGTACGCGTACATTCCTGTCGTCCACTTGAGGCGAAGGCATCCTGTTGCTGTATCCTCTCCGCTTGCATTCCAATATCTAACGTAAGCCAACTCCTCCCTCTCTCCACGTATTTTTGTATGGAACAACAGAAGCAACCTTGCATACCACTCCTCTCTCCGACCATACCTTACACCCTCCACTGCAACATCCGAGTACCATGGCCTCTCAAAATAGTCAGGGGTCGCTCGAACGAAGTGAGAAACTCTTGAGAAGCTGGCGTCGTCTGCTGCAGGGATTGCCAGCGATGCATGGGCCTGCATAACAGTTGATGTTAGTCATGTATGATACGAGCCAGCCAAATGATGGTTGATTGCATAAACTTGCAACTACTTACTCGAATCTTGGTGACGCATCCTGCATAACGCATAAGCGCATCCTTGAGGGCAGCTTGGGCACGAGGGTGTTGCTTGGCCCACTTCCTTGCAAACCAGTTGGTGGAGGTGGGTTCTTGTGGTAACTCCACAGGGAGGAAGTATGACTCCTTGATGAGCGTCCGTGTGTCGGTCTGAATCGCCTGCCAACATAAGCTATTGATATTATTACATTCTGCATTCATATCCATGCAATTCAAGCACTAAACAGATTTACCTGCCGCATGGCGGTGTCCCGGCCAGCAGGATCATCCACCGGCACCACATCCGGAATGCGCCTAGCATGGAACTTCATGATCTGCCCATCTACATTACGCTTGTTGGACCGACGGTAGATCCTCTTTACCAACGGTCCGTGCAAGTGCTCGAACATGTTGGTGCTGAATTCAGTCACATGACCCGCGCAACGTATGGAGTCAACGTAGTGCGACATGAGATGTGTTTTCACAAGGCACCAAGAGGATGGCTGCTTTGGAAACGCAGCCTGCAACTGCTCAACGAGCCTGATGGGAGTGGGAGATGACAACACATGCAATCACAGAGTCTACTTATTCATATGGTTTTCCTATTCCTGATCCTTTCCTATCAAAGTTTAGCACCAAACATTCTCACAAGATTGCCTACTACAAGAGCACATTTACAGTAGCCAAGCATTCATCCCATGCACGGGGGTTTACATGCGTGGTATTATTACCGAGAGGTCATCTTCTTCAGCTCCCGGAGGGACCGCTCAGTGTGCCCCTGAGGCTGGGAGCACAGGATGTACCAGCCAAGATAGGCACGAACGGCATCCATCTGGGGCTGGCGAAGCAGGCCTGCAAAAACAAACACCATGACCTGCAAAGAGTGTGGATAGCAGCAAAGGGGAGGGTGAGCACAGATGGTGTGAGGAGTTGGGACAAACAATGGCAGCATGAGCAGACTGCTTGAGGGTTTAGGCCAGGACAAGCAACAGGGAATGGAGGGTTCATACCTGCATGACGGCCCTGTGCTCATAGGCCGCCACACATGCTCCGGTCTCGAAGTAGGCGCTCTCCGGCAGGCGCATGTGATTCAGGCGCGTGCGGTCGCGAATGAGAGACAGGCGCCTGCCCATACACATCAGTTCAGCGGTGGCAAAAGGGCAGAAACATGTCAGTAATAGGACAGAACTTATGGTTTGAGTAAATGTGACGAAGAGCAACGAATCCAATCCCCAAAACACTGACCTGTCCATCTGCTTCACACGCCGCTTCTTCATCTTGCGCACGACAGCCACAATGTGGCTCATGATGCCCAGGTCCGCCTGGTGCATGATGTCAGGCATCACCACGAGGTAGGGATTGCCCCACGCGGTCCCTGGGACATCCCATTTCCAGAGCACGCACTGGAAATGGGGATGTGGTGGGGAATGGAGGAGAGATGTACGTGAGAGTGGATAGCTAACCTAAACCACAAGTGGGGTGAGTTCAATGGGGCAGAGCACATCTGGCAATTCATGACGGGGCGGGCGAGAGCATAGACTACTCATGGGCCGGGGAAACAGGTCACTCACCTCAACAGGGTAGGTAGAGTAGGCCTTGCACGGGTCAGCCTGGCTAGTTGTCGTCCCAGCCGCCTCGTTAACGATCCATTGCTGCTATTCAGGCGTGCGCGGCGTGTTCCGTGCCTTGACAGCACTCAGATGCTCCTGTTGTAGCACGGGGGTGAGGGATGGGATAGAAAAGGTAAGGGTGGTAGCTATGTGGGTTCTATCAGGCGACCCACAAAAGAGAATGTATTTGAATGCGTGCAGATGGCATGTGACCTCACCTTTGCAGCATAGCAGATGCTGCACGGCATCCGCGATCCATGCGAGAGTGTGCAACTGATCTTGCCGCTCTCGGGGTAGTCGCACACCCAGGCGTACAGCAGGGGCCGCACGGTTTGCCAATCACCGAAAGGGTCCCTGAGACGGAACCCGCTGCAAGGAACAGGTAGAGGGGCAACAGGAATTCGGGTTACGGCTTTTAGGGAGGAACGACGAGGGGCAAAGGGCCATGCTACATACAGAGAGGGTTTGCATACCATGCAGGTGGTGAGATGATGTCTTAGCAAGATGCAAACCGAGTACGGACCTGGCGATGCCATCAAGAAGCGGCTGCAGCACGGTGATGACGCAACGCTGGAAGAGCATCACCTTCTCCACGGCAGACATTGCAGACGGGGGGATAGGAAGGAGGGCAAGTAGTGTGTGCCCGGCTTTCCCCCATCGCTTGGCCTGGGAGATGTTGGCCAGCGTCATCATGAGCGGCCACGCCTTCTTCCGGCCGTTGATGCTCATGTGCGTCACATCCGAATATAAGATGACCCCCCCCACAACTTCGGACCAACCGAAGTGTTCCTGCAGTGCACGACAAAGCGGCAACGGACACACGGTTTAGGGCTCAAGATGCTCTTGACAGATCAGTGCAGCGATGGAGGCATGAGGAAGGATTGGGTTTGGGGTAGCAACGTGGTCTTTCCTTACCTGAGCATCGTTCCACCACGTTCCTGTTTCAGGCGTGGTATAGCGACGGCCGCCTGCGTCAGGGTCCTCATCAACACGCGCCTTGAGCTTGAAGCCGGGCACGTTGTTGGGATGTCCAAACATTTCAGCGAATGCCTGGTGTACGGTGTCGAAGGCAGGTGAGAGGAGAGGCATGGTTAGTGGCGGTGAAGGTGGGTGTACGGTTAATACAAGGATAACTACGTACATGCAAACCCTGTGTGCCTCATCATCATTTCACGGCCTTGAATGCAAAGTCGGCTTACCTGGGCTGAGTTCTGAAAGAGCAAGCGCTGTGGTGGATGACCGTCAATCTCGAAGGTCGCCACCGACCATCCGCGATTGAGCCCTGCCAAACGCTCCATCTCGAACCGCTCCAGATCCTTACAGTTCCGGAGCTCCGAGATCACAAGAGGCGCAAGGCCGGGCTCTACGACTAGCTGAAGCAGGCCGTTGATGTCAACCTCGGCCATTCCCATTCCGCCATTCACGCGCCAAACAAAATGCAGCAGCTTCAACGCGAGCGGATTGAGGGGCGTGGCATTGCTCTGTCCGGAGATGATTGTTGGCGGCGCGGCATGACTCCCTTCGGGCCGGCTCTCAGGATGGTCACTCGTGTCAGCCGCAGGAGCTCCTGGTTGTGGTTGATGTTCATCTTCAGGAGGCCCCTCGTTCACGTCGTTGGGAGTTTCGTTAACGTGAGCTTCAGGCACGCGTGGAGGACCGCTCACACTGACGGCGTTGGGTGCGTTAGACGCTGTAGGTGAACCGGGAGCGGCTGGAGCGTCCGACAGAATGTCGTGGACGAATAGCAGAGCGTGAAGACCGGCGGTCGGTGCAGATCGCGTCGGCCTTGCCACGGCGGATAGTCCTTGGCAAGGGGTCCGCCGTGACTTATGACCGCCAAAAACTTGGGCGTTGGGGAACCATCTGTTGCAGAACTCGCAGACGACGCCTGGTAAAGAGCCCATGTGTTACGGATCCGTTGTAGAGTCGAGAAATCGCCTATGAAGCTACTAGCCGTGATGAAGCTTGTGAACGCATTAAGTACTCCGTTCAAGAAGCCTGTGACAGCTACACGATCATCGCCAATGCGCGCACTGTGGTGGGCAGCTTGTATCACTGCACGACTGGCACTTGACATTGGCGCTAATGTTTATGACTGGCTAACGATGTCGAGCCGCGTGGTCGTTACCAGGCACGATACAGACCGCCCACCTCACGGGCCGTCTTCCCTACAAGGCGTGTCGCCCCCGTTTAGAGTGACCACGACGTGAGCAGAGGAGAATGCGGAGGATCTTAAGTCTCACGGTCGTGTGTGTGCGTCGCGAGCACGGTGAGAAGGACGTGCCTATTGAGTCAAGAACTTGTGCTTAGGAACCGTGCGTGAGAGTCGAGGGGGATGAGGAAGAGCGGGAAGATATCCGTTTGGATCTGTGATTGTGTCGCGAATCGATACAGGGGGGAAATCAGAATCATGTAGGTGAGCTCAAGAGGCTTCAAACAAACATGGAAATGCAAATGTACAATTACAACTTAACAAGACACTCAAGTCATTCATAACTAGTAAACATTCATATCCTTAGGACTGATGTTGAACAACCCTTACTTGATAACGATACGGGAAGTACCCAATAACTCCATGCCCTAACGTATGATTGTTGCGTGGAGCGAATACCTATAGCGTGTCTTCTCTCGAGGTGTAGTGTACCTCTACGCACCGTGCTGAATGAATATGCAAGAATGGATGACAATGTCGTACAATAACACAACGGTTTCAATGTCCATGCAATGTTGGATGACAATGCAACACCATACCACAACGGATTCACCATGTCGCGCAACCCGCAGGCCTGAACGCTGCATCGTCGCACAGTCTAACCATGGCTGTCGATAACGCATCTACGCTTGTGCGTTGGGCCTGTGCTTCATACCACTCCTTCTAAGCACCTTGTTTAATGTCTGTGCAAGAATGGATGACAATCCAACACCATACCACAACGGATTCACGTTTGTTACTATTGATAATCGTGTTAGAATGTCGTCCGCTGGCCCTAAACCATTGTGGCAAAGCCTAAAAGTGCACAGTACATCTGTCACAAGTAATAATTATGGACGGTCGTTGTGTGTGTGACGTAAGAATCACCGATTAACTTACCCCAACCCCGTGGTAAACCATTTGCAACTTAGAGTTTGATGAAATGCATTGTTGTATGTTTGAATAAAATTTAGTGATTTATGCGTTGGCAACCGTGATTGGCCGACGCATCTCAAACGATTCCCCCCGCAACACAGTCATCAGCCAAGAGGTACTTCAGCCATTGAGCGGCTGAGATCGAGCGGTAGGTGGGTTTATGCTAGGGTGGCTACACGTACACCGTCCAATATAGCCTGATAGGGTTACATTACTCTCTCTAGTCTCGCAACCCACCCCAACCACCCTCGTGTCCCACCCACCTGCTTCCGTCACTCCCTGGACCAACACTTTGACGCTGCTCGTTGCCTTGACACACGCCTCTCCAGATCGGCCTTAGCGCGAAGCATAGTGGCTACTATGACAGATTTAGTTGAAGCGGCGGTTTTCAGAAACACATAACAGTGATAGACCGTCGATAATCCCATCGTGGGATTCAGTTGCAGAACCCTTTCGAAACCGGCTCAACCCTTCCGCGCGATTTGCAACTTTGCTCCTCCTACAATTACCATGACACGTGCAACACGTAACCAAGCAATGGAGGAGGAACATGCCGGCCGCCGCGCGACAAGGAGGACGTCTAAACAAATCAATAGGGAGTGTGGTGGCGGCACTAAAAAAACTAATGCGTCCGTCGCTCGTGGCATTGGGCAGAAAAAAGCGGCGGCAAAAAAGGTCGCGCGCGGTCAACAGGAGGCCGGCAAGAAAGCGGAAGACAAGGGGCCTAAACCAACGCCACGCAAGCGTGTTTCTACAGTGAACAAAGATGCGGATGTTGCCTCTGCTGGAACCGAGCCCGGTCCGAGTAAAGACGGCACCACTGGCGGCAACGAAGATCCGGGGCGAGGGAGCGCGAGTCTTGCACTCCCGTCGGCGGAGATGGAGGGATCGGCGACGGAGGGAAATCACGGAGGCGATCCCCGCGCCAAGCATGCCGCAACCAAGGAGTCCGAGGCGGCGGCAACGCAACACCATCTGACGCTGCTCCAGCCGACCGTGGTCGAAGTTTCTGCAGCCGTGCTGGATAAGGACAAGGTGGGGGAGCACGAGTCGGTGGGGCTGGTCGGTGGCTCTCCACCTTCTGGTGGACGGGGGAGGCGTAGGCAAAGGAAGAGCGATGGGGAGGACGATTATGACACCGCCGTGCCCGGGGACCTCATTACGCGGGCGAAGAGGCGGCAGACGACAGGTAGTGCTGACGACGCCGGTGGCGCGGCAGTTGGGACACCGCGAGGCGCCAAGGAAGCTAGTGGCAAGGCGGGCGGTCAAGCATTGCGCCAGAAGGGCCGACCCGCAGCAAGAAAAGCATCCGGCGGAAGGAGAGGCAAGAAAGCAGCGACGGGAACAAAGCCGAAACGGGGCGATGAAGACCCCGGTGATGCGGAGGAGGAGGATGAGGAGGAGGATGCGGAGGGAGAGGAGGATGAAGAGGAAGCGGAGGAGGATGACGCGGATGTTGGGGAGGACGAAGAGGAGGAGGAGGAGGAGGAGGAGGATGAGGAGGAGGAGGAGGAGGAGGAGGAGGAGGAGGAGGAGGAGGCAGAGGAGGAGGAGGAGGAGGAGGAGGAGGAGGAGGAGGAGCAGGGTGACGACGAGGAGGAGGATGTGGAGGAGGAGGAGGAGGAGGCAGCGGAGGAGGAGGAGGAGGAGGAGGAGGAGGAGGAGGAGGAGGAGGAGGAGGAGGAGGAGGAGGAGGATGTGGCGCCAGTGAAGGGACGGGGCGGGCGTGGCAAACGGGTGAGTGGTACAGGGAAGGAGGGGGGCCGGACTCGCCCTTCCCGAAAACGCGGGGCAGTTGACGCTGCGCGCGGCGAAGCATCGGGCAAACCGAAGGCGCGTAAGGTGAAGGTCGAAAGTGAAGGGGTTGGTAAAAAGCAAGGGAGCCAGGGAGCAAAAGGGGATGGAGGAGGAAAGGGTGGCCGCGCCAAAGGGGTTCCAGTGGGTACCAGCAAGAAAGAACCTGCCGGTAAACTGGGCAGCGTCCGCCAAAGCACCCCGCGGAAAGGTGGCAACGAGAAGGCGCAGGCTGCCCCAAAACCGAAGGGACAGCAGAAAGGTGAGCATTGTGTCCAATAAAACTGGCGTGACGTGTTGAACCATCTGCTAAACCGTGCCAAAAAACACCTTTTTTTCACATTGTTTCTCCCATGCAGGGAAGGAGAAGGTCGACGAATCTGCCAAGCAAGGTAAACCCTCTTGTCTCAAACCAGTACAACCCTGAACCCGATCTAGATTCAAACCTTTCTGAATATGCATGCATGTCTGGCCCCGCCTTGAAACTGATCGACTCTAATTTTTTTTTCCGGCTCCCTCTACATCTCAGCCCCTCGCGTTACAGGCATTGGGCCGCCCGTAAGCGTGCAACGAATGCATCTAACGAAGGCTGCCGGAAGAGCGAGTGTTACACCGCTCTCCTCCGGAGCACCAAGGTACTACACGCCATGGGCCGGCCCGAGCAAAGTCGCTGCGACGGCACCAGGCGCGCCAAGAGGAGAGGAATCCGAATCCCCTCCACCCGCCCCCGTCACGCAGTCCCCACTCGCCTCACCCTCGTACCAATTTCGGCAACTCCACGCTTCTCCTGTCCGGGGCAGGGCGGTCTCCCCTCTCGCCGATCCTTCGCGCGGGCATCAGGCAGGCAGTTATGCCAATCCCTTCCCTGAGCTCCCCTTTTCCCGCCAGCGTGATAGTGTGAGGGCACACGGGACTGCTGCAGAAGACGTTGATCCCCTTGGCCAGAGGGGGGATTCTTCACACCCTTTTCCTCCGCTCATGGGTGCCCTAGGTGAAAGTGCGGAGCACGAGCAGTTTGTTACACGGGAGGAGTTCCAGGCGCTGCGGTCTGAGATGTACGCCATGTTTGCACAGCTCGGCCTGCGTCGTGGAGTACCTGCCAGCTATGCCGGCGGGTCGGCAGCCCTGCCTATGGCTGGTACCCCGCCGCCGATGAGCGCCGTGGACAAGGCACGAGTGCTAGTGTTGCAGGAGACAAACCCATTCCCGGTATGTGGCGGGCCACATGGGGAGGGTTGGGGTTGACGTGGCAACAAGGGCGGGGTTGGGGCTGACGTGGCGGTTTCGAAGGGAACACGGGAGCGGTGCGTGACGAGGCGACGCGTATCAGGTGGGTGGGGGGTGACGTGGCATGGGGTGGGTGGGTGTGACGTGGCAAGTGGCGCGGGTTGTTGGTGGACGTGGCGGATGCGGGTTGGGTGTGACGTGGCAAAAGGTGAGGGTTTGGGATATGACGTGGCGGTGTGAAAGGGTGCAAGGGAGTGCCGCATGACGGCGCGAGGCGTTTCAGGTGGGTGGGGGGTGACGTGGCTCTTGGTGGGGGGTGTGACGTGGCAAGTAGGGCGGGTTGTTGGCGGATGCAAAAGGGTGTGACGTGGCAGAATGTGAGGGTTGGGGCTGACGTGGCGGTTTGGAATGGTACACGGGAGCGGCGCGTGACGAGGCGACGCGTGTCAGGTGGGTGGGGGTTGACGTGGCATGGGGTGGGAGGGTGTGACGTGGCACGTGGGGCTGGTTGGTGGACGTGGCGGATGCAGGAGGGTGTGACGTGGCGGAAGGTGAGGGTGGGGGATGACGTGACAGATGCAGGTGGGTGTGACGTGGCGGAAGGTGAGGGTTGGGGATGACGTGGCACCCTAAAAGGGTACACGTGAGCGGCGCATGACGAAGCGAGGCGTCTCAGGTGGGTGGGGGGTGACGTGGCTCTTGGTGGGGGGTGTGACGTGGCAAGTAGGGCGGGTTGTTGGCGGATGCAAAAGGGTGTGACGTGGCAGAATGTGAGGGTTGGGGCTGACGTGGCGGTTTGGAATGGTACACGGGAGCGGCGCGTGACGAGGCGACGCGTGTCAGGTGGGTGGGGGGTGACGTGGCAAGTTCAAACAGTGTTGCTAGTCACCATCCCATGGTCACGCGGCCACCCTCATAACTGCTGGTTTCTCTCTTCCATGTCGTGTTGTATACCTTACACCCCTGCGCAGAACAAAGCCTACTTAGTGTGCTCTCAGCTCATGTCTCTGAACCCGCCGGAGAAATGCTCGGAGGCGACGTACTCCGGGCGTGTCCTCTTCACCGACCTGCGTTCTTGCTCCACGAAGTCGACAACGCCCACGCCGGAGGTTGTGGCCCTGCACGCGATCGTCTCGACGACGAAGTCGACGCCGGACAGGATGCATGTGAGGCTTGCGCACGTCGGCATAGACACCATACGGAGCTCGGCGAAGAACGAGGTCGCCATTAGGCTGGGCCTCAAGTCGGCGACTGGCGCCGACTCACCGTGTGTCTCGTGCGTCGGCGGGAAGCTGGCGCGGCACACCTTCCCCGACCAAGGCTCCGACGCCGACGAAGTGCTGGCCGTCGTGCACATCGACCTGTGCGGGCCGTTCCGCGTGGCTGCCAAGGACGGCAGCTTGTACTTCCTTCTGCTGAAGGACCGCAAGTCCCGCTTCGTGTGGGTGAGGCCGGTCGCCAAGAAGTCGGATGTGCTGCTGGAGTTCCAGAAGTGGCTGGTGTTGGTGGAGAGGCAGACGAAGAAGTCGGTGCTAATGCTTCCCTCCGACCGAGGAGGGGAGTTCCTCGGGAAGAAGTTCACCGACTTCGTGGACGGACAGGGGATCGTCCACGACCTTACCTGCCCGTACACCCCGCAGCAGAACGGCATGGCGGAGAGGGAGATGAGGACGGTGGTGGAGTCGGTGCGGACGATGCTGCTACACATGGGCGTGCAGCACCACTGGTGGCACCTCGCTCTGCGGCAGGCCGTCTGGGTCCGCAACTGCCTTGAGCGGTCGACGCTGCCGCCGGGGAAGACGCCGTACCAGCTGTTGACCGGGCAGAAGCCCGACTTGTCGATGGCGTGGGTGTGGGGCTGCATGGCGCAATTCCTTGTCCCCGAGCAACAGCGTGGTGGGAAGATGAAGCCGAAGGCTAGGTGGGGCCTTCACCTCGGCGTGTCGGGGGAGAGCAAGGGCTGGGAGCTCCTCGACATCGACGCCAACCGGGTGGTCACCACGTCGGACGTGGTGTTCCACGAGGATATGTCGCTGGAGGTGTGGAAGTCGGAGCACGGGCCGGTGTCAAGTCGGACGCCGACCACCCCACCGACCGATACCTCGACGGCGACGCTGCCTCTGCTCGCCGAGGTCAGTGAGTTTGCTGATGGGTACGCCGAGGTCATTCGTCCTCCTTCTCCTTCCCCTACGACCCCTGCCCCTCCCCTCGTGGCCGACTTGCACGGGCTGACTCCTATGTCGGCGTCCGGCAATGAGGGGAGTAGTGGGACGTCGCCGTCGGCGCAAGCCAAGGGCATTGCCGGTGGCCGACGTGACAAGAGGCACGTCGACGTGGGATTGAAGCCGACGTCGTCAGGGGAGGAGCAGGTCGAGGAGCAGCAGCCGACAGGGGAGCAGGCAGCAGTGAAGCCGACCATGGAGCAGTCGGCGACCAGGCAGTCGGCAGCGAAGCCGACCACAGGGGAGAGGTCGACCAAAAAGTCGACCGAGGTGCAGCAGGACGACGAGGGCAGCGAAGCCAGTGACGAAGGGGAGAAGTCCACTGACAGTGACGTGGTGGAGGTTCGGCCTGAACCCCGGAAGTCAGGCCGACTTCGAAGGCCGCCGGACTTCTTCGTCCCTGCTGCCTTCACCACGGTGTACGACGTGGACGACGACGACGACCTGATATACGACGACGCCGAGGAGGATGAGGAGTTTTCGGAGCTCGACCCCGACATGCATGCCGACCCCGAACACCGTTGGGACATCTCGATGATGACGGTGAAGAAGGCGTTGGCGAGCTGGAAGGGCCCGGTGGTGAAGGCCGCCATGGAGGAGGAGATCCGCAGCCTCATCAACATGGGCACTTGGGAGCTGGTCGAACGCCCGCCGGGGGTGAACGTCATGAAGAACCGGTGGGTGTTGACAACCAAGTACCACGTCGACGACACCGTCGAGCGCGAGAAGGCGAGGCTGGTCGTGAAGGGCTTCACCCATGTGTATGGCGCCGACCACGACGAGACGTTCGCGCCGGTGGGCAGCTACGTCACCCTGAGGATCTTCCTCAGCATCGTTGCCGTCCTCAACCTCAACCTGATGCAGCTTGACATGAAGAATGCCTTCCTGCAGAGCAAGCTCGACCGGGTGCTCTACATGTCTCAGCCGGACTACTTCAACGACGGAACCGGCCGGGTGTGTAAGCTGCTGAAGAGCCTATACGGGCTCAAGCAGTCGCCGCTGCTGTGGTACTTGGCGCTCAACGACGTGCTGGTCGGCGCCGGGTGGAAGAAGAGCCAGGTCGACGAGGCTCTCTACTTCAAGGTCGGCGATGACGCAGTGGCCTGCTGGGTGCTGGTCTACGTCGACGACCTGCTCGCTGCCAGCAGCAGCACCGAGATGCTGAAGGAGCTGAAGGAGCTGCTGGAGTCCGCCTTTGAGCTGCGTGAGATCTAGCCGGTGCAGAAGTACCTCGGGCTGGAGATCGTCTGCGACAGGTCGGCGGGGAAGCTGTGGTTGCACTTGCAGGGCTATGCCGACAAGCTGCGTAGGTGCTTCATCGACGATGAGCAGACCGGGCGCACCCCAAAGACGCCGGTCTTAGTCGACGCCTACGCCGAGCTCACCTTCGACGACGAGGAGGCACAGGAGCGACAGGAGGAGGACCGGCAGAAGGTCGGCTTGCTACAGTTCGCGGCGATGACGACGAGGCCGGACATCGCCTTCGCCTGCAGCAAGCTGGGGAGTGGCCTCACGGTGAGGAGCGACCAGCACTGGCGCGAGGTCGACCGCTGCCTCGCCTACCTCGGCAACACGCGTGACACCGCCCTGGAGTTCGGCGGTGGACCTGAATCGCTGGAGCTGGTCGGCTACGTGGACGCCGACGACGCTGGTGACAAGCAGAACAGGACGAGCACAGGCGGCTACGTGTTTGTCTACGGAGGGGCCGTAGTCTCCTGGTCAAGCCAGCGCATCAAGTGCGCGACGCTGTCGTCGACCAAGTCGGAGTACGTGGCGGCCACCGAAGCCAGCAAGGAGGGACGTCGACTTCGCTTCCTCCTCGCAGAGTTCCGACAGCTGGATGCTGGGAAGCCGACTGTCCTTCGGGTGGACAACAAGTCGGCCATCACAGTCGCCGAGGGCATGGGGTTGACGGGCAACCTCAAGCCTATGGAGCGGCTACAGGCCTGGCTGCAGCACATGGTGAAGCGCGGGAAGTTCTCGCTGAGGTACATCCTGACCACCGAGCAGCCGGCCGACTTCCTGACGAAGGCGCTTCACTGTCCGGCCTTCAACCGGTGCTCAGTCACCATCGACCAGGTGCGCTTGGCTGACGTGGGCGACGAAGTTGACG